TCAAGTGTGGCAGCGGTAGTGAGGTTGGCCCAGGATCGGACATTGTTTAGTTCTGCTGTGCATGGGGTAGCTATGAGTCGGTTCTGACTCGATGACACCTGACAACAACAACACACCCACCAGAAGGAAACACCACTGTCCTGCTCCAGCCTTACAGGCATTACTGTTTGGGTCTATTGTTGCAGCCATGATGCAAGTCCATCTCCTTGAGGGTCTTGCTCTTTTTCACGGACCCTCTACTTTATCAAGCACGATGTCCTTCTTCAGGATTGGTCCAGTGCTTGGCTACGAACCAAAAGATGGTGGTCGGACCCATCAGCTGCTCAGGAGAAAACTTGGTAGTCAGCTTCCATTGCTAATATGCTTTGGAAACCGTCTGGTGCAGGTCTACTCTGTACTGTAGGAAATCTACTCTAAGGCAGTAGAGTGTGCCATAGACAAAAACAAAACAAAAGCCCAAACCCATCCATTGAGTTGACTTACGGCTGTTGCATGGTGACCCCATGCGTTACACAGTAGAACTGCACCATGGGGATTTCTGGGCTGTCATTTTGATGGAAACATCTCCCCCAGGCCTTTGTTTCACAGTCTCAGCAGCACTAGGTGGGTTGGAACCCACAACTCTTAAGTTAGTAACTGAGTGCAAACTGTTCACACCACCCAGGCTCAAACCATATACAGGACTCACAAATTCAATGGGGATTCACACAGAGGTGGTGTAGCTCTGAGAAGTCATCTAGTATGGTATGGCCCTGTGGGTTAATGCACTGGACTGCAAAGTCGGTTTGAACCACAAGGTTGGCAGTTCAAGCTCACCAGCGGATCCTCAAAAACCCTACACAGGATCACTATGGGTTGGAACTGACTTGACAGTACTTAACACCAACCATGTCATCACAAAGGCCATGGGTGAGTTACGGCTGACTGCAGAGAAAGAAGGAAATGTAAGAATGCCGGCCGTGCACTGTTGAACTGCAAGACTGGCTGCTCAGATTCCGCAGCAGCTCCAAGGAGATCGACCTGGCACTCTCTCCTACACAGATGACAGAGGGAGAACCCTCTGGGACAATTTTATTCTGTCCTATAGAGTCACACAACAACATATATGAGATTAAGTCAAAGAATATTGCTACCAACTCATAGAAGCCTTTATTAAATAAAAATATCAAAAGGTGAAGAAGCTATTATTCCTGGATATAGCCTCTCTTGAGGGCTATACATTTCCATCCCTTTAACTCTTCCCCAAAGAGTTCTGAGCTCTTCGATTTATATGATATCAAAATAGCACTTTGGGATGCGTCCTTGAAGGACTCAAATCCTGATCCCTCTGTCTGTTGTTTGAGTTTCAGGAACAAAGAGAAGTCTGAAGGAGTAAGGTGGGGCCTATAGGGTGGATGGAGTAAGATCCTCACAGCCCTTGCTACCTTCAGAAATGAACTGGTAATGATGTAGTGATGGGGGTGCGGAATTTCCCCTTCAACTTTCCTGGCCTTTTTCTCACCAATACAGTTTTCAATTTTCTCTAAACTTCTTCCTAATAGCCCCAGTGATAGCCCTGTGTCCTTTAAGTAAAAGTGTCAAGATGATGCCTTTGAAATTCCAAAAGAGTCACCATAACTTCCTGAGCTGACCTCTCTGCCTCTAGTGTTAGTCCAGAAGATCCCCTCAGGAGTCACTGTTTCGATTGAATCTATTTATTTTTGAAGGCACCCTAAGGAGGCTCAAAGGGTCCTGGTGGCACTGTGGGTTAGTCATTGGACAGCAGTTCAAACCCACAAGCATTTCTATGGGAGAAAGATGAGGCTATTTCTGCTCCCGTAAAGATTTATAGTCCTAGAAACCCTATATGGTGTTACTATGAGTCAAAATCACCTCAGTGGCAGTAGTGGTAGATTTAGTCTGCTGAACTCGTTCTTTATTTGGTTTAAGAAGACTAAGACAAGTGCATTACTAAGAGACTTTGTCTGCAGCCATCCAATGATTGCAGAGACCTGGTTAAACAGATCTTGTTTAGGGTTATCCTGTGCATGTGGGTCCTGGAACCCTCATAGCATGACTTTGGGGCTTGCCTTTGTATATGCACAAATATACACAACATAAAAAATAAAATTGGTGTTGTTGTTAGGTGCCATCGAGTCTGTACTGACCCATAGCGACCTTATGCACAGCAGAACGAAACACTGCCTGATCCTGGGCCAGCCTCACTACTGTTGCCACACTTGAGTCCATCAATGCTGCCATTTGGCCAATCCATCTCATTGGGGGTCTTCCTCTTTTCCTCTGACCCTCCACCTTACCAAACATGATATCCTTCTCCAGCGATTACTCCCTCCTGACAATATGTCCAAAGTATGAGAGATGAAGTTTGGCCATCTTGGTCTTTAAGAAGCACTCTGGCTGTACTTCTTCCCAAACTTCCAAAATAATAAAATAGGTCTATGAAAAATTTAAGCTGGAAATCGTAATGTTTGCATGTCACATCCTGCTTTACATGTATGTTAGGAATTGTCACAAGCATGGACACCATTTCACTCCACTATTCATAAAGGTATCAGGAATCAGAACCATCTGGACATCACCTAACAACAACCATGGATCCAAAGTTTGTAAAGGACTCTAAAGACCAACCAACCCCATCTTCAGCCCACATTCATCTGGAAGGGTCACCTCAAAACAGCATCTTCTCATGGAAGTCAGCACCTACTGCCCCACAGTTCAGTTACACAAGACTTGAAGCCTCATGTCCCTTCCTGTGAGGTTTGCCTGAAGGGTCAGAGGAGAACAGGCTGGGAATCCTCCATAAATCCTCAAACATGTTCCCCTCTGCTAATAGTGTCTTGAGTTCAGCAAGGTATTGTGTAAACCCACAAATAAACCCTTGTAAATTTGATGGAGAGAAAAAAGAGCTCAATGAACGTGAACATTGAATTGCCTGAACCTTAACTACAAAGCAATGATCAATGACTCCAATTTAATATGATCTTCCCCAACAGCTGCCCTATTGTAAAGTATAGCTAGCCCCCATCATGGCTGCTTTCTCCCCTTTCCTGTTTTGTTACCTTCTTAACACCCATTAGCATCTAACATATTTATTTATCAAGTCTGTTGCTTTTCTTTTTCCATTAGAATGTAAGTGTTTGAGAACACCATGTTTCTTTTGTTCATTGGTTTAGCCCAAATGTCTTGAGCATTTTCTAGGACATGGTGGGTGTTCAATCCATATTTGTTGTATCAATGAAAGGATAAATGTATATCCAAGTCTTTAATAACTTAATTTAGTAGCCCAATGCCCTTCCCACTTCAGGACTTCAGTAGTCATCTTGATAAAGTACCTTAGGTAAGACTGGAAAGGAAGGTTAATACAATGGATGATTAAACCAAAGGTTAGGATTGTGTCAGTTATTCCATCGAAGCCCTGGTGGCTCAATGGCCAAGCACTTGGCTGCTAATCAAAAGGTTGGCAGTTCAAATCCACCAGGAGACAGACCTGGCGATGTGTTTCTATGAAGATGGCCGCCGAGGAAACCCTGTGGGGAAGTTCTTCCCTATCACCTGGGTTTGCTGAGTTGAATCAACTCCATAGCACTTCAAAGCAATTGCACTGTAATATTAGCCTGAATATAAAGCGCTTACATTTTTTGGGTATATATGTGAAGTTCTGCTTTTATTTCCCAAAACTCAGTGTCATAAGATTAAAAGAAGTAAGAGTTGGTTCTACATCCATTTTCATTGACTATATATATACATTCCAGGAACCTTTGTGGTAGAAAAAACACTAGGATGCTAATGTAAAGGTTGTAAGTTTTAACTCACCAGCTGGTCCATGGAAGAAAGATGAGGCTTTCTGCTCACATAAGGATTTCCAGTCTTAGAAAGCCTATACAGGATAGCTATGAGTTGGAATCAACTCAGTGACTTTGGATTTTGGTTTTGGTTTTATACATGCATTCAGATGGTTTTCACTGGCCAAAATTTCAGCAGGTCACTAGGTCCTTTTTCCTATAGAGACTTAGTCTGGGAATTGTCCACCAAATACTGGTATCATTGCTTCCAGCATCACAGCAACACACAAGCTACCACAGTACTACAAACTGGCAAACACAACAATATCACTTTGAGGACTAAGGTGCACCTGACCCAAGCCATGGTAATTTTAATTACCTCATATGCATGTGAAATCAGGATAATGACTAAGGAGGACCATAAGAGAACTGATGCCTTTGAGTTGTGGAGGAGAATATCGAACATGCCATAGACTGCCTAAAGAATAAACAAATCTGTGTCAGGAGGAGTGCAACCAGAACACTCCTTTTCTAAGGCCAGGATTGTCAAGACTTGCCCAACATTCTTAGAACATGTTATTAGGAGAGACCAGCCTCTGGAGAGGAACATGCGCTTGGTAAACTCAGGGGTGTAAAAGAGGAAAACTGTCCATGAGATGGATTGACCCAGTGGCTGCACCAATGGGCTCAAACACAGCAATGATTATGAGGACAACCCAGTGTTTTGTTCTGTTGTACACGGAGTCACTATGACTTGACAACACCTAAATACGGTGCTATAGGATAAGTCCTGAACTACAAGGTCTGTGGTTCAAACCCACCAGTCACTCCTTGAAAACCATATACAAGGCTGCTATGAGTCGTAGCCTACTCAAAGGCACTTAACAACAACAATATTCAAAATCCATCAACAGGAGATGATCAGATCATGAGACCTCAGTGTCCTTTTGAGTAAGGACCTAACAACCAAAATCTGTTTAGAAGAAGGTGGCCCGAGATCTGTAATTAATGGCCATTGGATAGAAGTGACAGTCCAAACAAGACCTGTGGTGTCCTTGTATTTTGTTTCCAATGCCACAGTCTACTGTGTGGCAAGTGCCTAAATGGAAGCACTTTGCCTTCCTGGGTGCCATATCAAATGGAGCAGCTGCCAAATCTGACTTTGGGTGCTGCATTCATCTAAACATTCTCCCTGACTCTACCCATCCCCATGGTCTGCTTTCAGAATGCTCCTTTATAAACAGGTAACAGACAAATCCTCCTCAAACTCCCTGTTCCATGCAGAGAAAAGCAAACAGTTCAGCAGAAGTTACCAGACCCTGACGGGGCCCTTTCTCCCTCTGTGAGTTCCACTCTACTGTTATCCTATCTACTCACACTGTTCCTTGCACCAACCTTCTTGCTGGTTCACAAACACTAACATATCCAAAAGCAACACTGATGAAGCCTTCCACAAATCGAACCACCTCTTCTCAGCCAGAGCCTCTGGAGGTCCCCTCAGGCTACCCTGGGTTTGGTCAAGCCAGCTCCAAGTCCTGCCACCTATAGATACTCCTCTCCAGCCCTCCTTCCTGCACTGTGTATTCCAACTCTGCCCTCTCTCTCCCTCCTGGAGTTCTAAAGGTATCTGCTGTTGTCATGTATGTCATGTATGTCAACTCTACTAGGTCAGATTTCCAGAGGTTTACAGTTGGGATGTGCTTATTCCCATGGTGATGAAACCTAATACTGGCATAGTTAGCTCTTGATGAGTTGCGATAAGCAGCCAATCAATTGAAGGGATGCCTCCTTGGGGGTGTGGCCTGCTCCCACTAGAATGGACATGTGGGAGGGACTCTCTTTGTCTGTCTTCTGCTGGGGACCTGGGACTTTACAATTGTACTCTAATTAACTTCCCTTTATACATAGAGATGTTTCACTGGTTTGGCTTCTCTAGAAACCCCAGCCTAAGGCAGCTGTCTAGACCAAAGTTCTGTTGGAGCTTACCTCTGCTCATCCATGGTGGGATGGATGGCTGCTTTTGTGTTACAAGGACAGAGTGGTTGCTTCAGATCTTAGGACCCACAAAGCCAACATTTACACCTTGCCGATTCTAGAGAGAATGTGCTGACCAACCCCAGGCCTATTCCACCCACATCTCGTTCTGCCCTGTCCAGTGTGTGCTTAAGGCATGGCCCCAGGAGCCAGAAGATCTGCCCTGGAGCCTTACAGCTGTGTGGTCTTGTACAAGTCAATTGGTCTCTCTTAGCCTATTTTCTGCATCTTCAATAAGGGGATTAAAAACCTCACAGTGCTTCTGGGCAGACTAAGTAAAATAATGTATGCTAAGAGCTTCTTGTGTGCCCAGCATCTGTCATGACGCACTGTGTGTCAGCTCGAATGGTTATTACATCTCTTGTTCCAGAGAGGTGGGATGGGCTCCTTGGCCACCCCGCTCTTTGTGGGCAGACCTAGACTCATAAGCCAAACTGGCAAGAGGGATGTGATTGCAGCAATCTGTAGAATTCTAGCCTTCCATGTGGGAGATCCAGGTTCAACTCCTAGCCAATTCATCTCACACACAGCCATCACCCACCTGCCAGGAGAGGCTTGGGTATTACTATGATGCTGATGTAGACTGAATTATGCCCCCCAAAATATGTGTTATATAGCCTACTATGCCTATATATGGCTATAGTCCTGTTTTGTAATAAGGTGTTCTTTGTTATGTTAATAAGACCATATCAGTGTAGGATGTATCTTAAATGTATCTCCTTTGAGATATTGAAGAGTAGATTATGCAAGCAGCAAGCAAACCGAGATGGGGAAAGATGGATACCACACCATAAGGGATCTCCAAGGAACCAAGAAACATAAGCTGAAGAGACACAAGGACCTCTCCACAGAGCCCCCACAGAGAGAAAGCCTTCCTCCAGAGCCAGCGCCCTGAGTTCTGACTCCTAGCCCCCTCTACTCTAACAGAATATATTTCAGTTCATTAAAGACACCCCATTGGGAATTTTTGCTTTCAGCATTAGAGAACAAAGACAGATGCTGAATGGGTTTCAGTGGAGTTTCCAGACTGAGAGAGACTAGGGAAAAAGGCCTGGTAATCTACTTCCAAAAATTAGCCAACAACACCCTTATGAATCACAACAGAACACTGTTCCACAGAAGGCCAGAGCTTGGAAGACATGCAGCATACACAATGGCCTCATCAGTGGGCTCCAGTAGACCACAATGGTGAAGATGGCACAGGGCCTCACAGTGTTCTGTTTGGTTGTAGAGGGAGTCTTCAGGAAACCAAGCCAAATTCACAACAACATTAGCGACAACAGTCAGCCAAATGCCAGAGATGTGGCCACGACAGTGCTATGGACCTCAGTGTCACACTTTAAGCCCTGCTCACTGACCTCATTTCCGTCCAAACTTAAGCACTGAGGGATATGCCCCCTCCTCACCATAGGCGGGCGCTCCATCAGCTTCCACAGTTTCTGGCTCAGCTCCTGGCGGGCCTTCTGGAACTTGCTGTCCAGGGCAGGAGAGAGGGTGCCCACCAGACCCAGGAGCATGTGACTCTGCAGGAATTCCCTGTGGGAGGGCCAAGTCACACATGCACCTCTCAGGTAAGAAGAGCCTTCTTGGTCTCCCTGCCTCCCCTGCCAGCAGGTCCCTTTGGAGCACTGCTTAGACACACCCAGAGCTTTCCAGCAGCAGTTCTGTGGCCTCTGGTCCCTTCGGCCCACCCCCAAGTGCATGGGCAGACCTGTGTCTCAGCTGCAGCATCGATAATATCTGGGACATGTTTGTCAGATACTCCAAGTCATGAACCATGAGGGGCTGAGAGGGGCTCAGGTGCATCTCTGTGAATATGGCTTGCAAGCAGGACAACCAGTCGATGACAGGAACCATTTCCTTGGAGATAGGGGACACAGAGACTGAGGGGAGAAGAGGAAGGGGACAGAGGAAGGGGAGGAGGCGGCGGAAGGGACCCCTTTGGGTTTGAGAGGGAGTGGGAGGGAGGGGCTGTGGAAAAGTGGGGCTGGAAAGCAAGGTGGGCAGGGGATCAAAAAAGGCTGGGAGAGGCCCCTGTCCCCCTCCAGCCCCCGACCCAAGGTACCTGCAGCTGGACTATAGTGACCATCTGGGCCCTCTGGGGTGCTAGGGGCTGCAGGAACTGAGACAGTCTTGAGGTGATAGAGATGGACAGGCCAGCATGCTCTTGAACCTTTTCAGGAGTCCCTCCCAGCAGGGATCCCAGCTGGGTCAGGTAAGTCAGGTAGTCCCTCACTTTCTGCAGGGTAGAGGGCCTCAGTCAAAACCACAGTGGCCCTGCCTGAATCTTGACACCCACAGCAGCACCCTCGTCCACCTTGTCTTACTTGGGCATAGTTCTTCAGATCCTTCTCTTGCTTGAGGGGGACATCAAACTCGGGCTGGTTTATCTGAACACAGGAGAGATTGGAGAGCAGGGAACAGGGGAGAGCAGAGGCCAGGGAAGGTCCAAGCTTTTGCAGGGAGGGAGGGAGCTTCAGGATGGAGAGATGGGGTGAGGGCATGGGGGAGATCCCACAACAGGGCAGAGGGAGGCTGGGGTGGGATGGAACTGGCCTGGGAGGTGGGACAAAATGAGGCAAAGAGGGTCTGAGCTAAGGAAAGGGGGGGATTGGGAATGAGGCAATCCAAAAATAGAGCTGGATAGAGAAGTAGGTGTTTCAATCCACTTAGGGATGCTGACTCCATGGCACTTAGCAATGGTACTTAACAACAAAGTTGTGCTCCAGGAAAGGAGCAAAGCGGTGCCCTAAAGGGGTTAGGGAGAGTGAGACACCCAGGTCAGGCACAAAACACTGAGGAATCATGGAAAATCCCATTTTGATGGGGGGAAAAATAAAAGAATACAAAAATTCATGATGAATAAAATGAATTTTAAATTCCAAACTAGTTACTAGATTAATTTTAAGTATCATTAATTTTTTAAAATCCACAATAAATATTTTTGCTCCATTTTGTAAGAAAAACATGGATTAAATAAAATATCCTCAGTCAACACCAAAATGTTGAGATTTTGTTCCTTCTGGACTTTAGCCTGAGTTTTGAGATTAAAAAACCAGGCATTCATGAAAGTGAGATCTGTGTTGAACCTGAGTTTTTTGCGCTCTAAGTTCTGTGTCCCCGGCAAGATCCCCGCTTGCCTGTGTTCATTTAGTCCCCCACATTTTCCTGTTCAAATTGCAACCTCCCACTCTTGCATGGAGTTGTATATTCTCCCTCTGTCTCCAACAAAAAGTTTCACGTGACCCCTTTTGTCAATTTTTTACATCGAAGCTTATTAAAAAAAAAAAAGTTATACCCTGCCCCCCCTCAACTTCCTCAGGGCTACTTCCAGTGCTGTTGATATGGGTCCAACTCAGGATGGCCTTGTGTGTTTATCAGAACAAAGGAAACATTGCTCCATGTTGGTCATGTTAGAGTCTGTTGAGTCCATTTGTGTTAACTTCCTCAACCTCCTCACATGCTACAGACAATCTGCCCATTCCCATAACCACTTGACACTGTCTCTAGAAGGTCTTTAATGGTGTGTTCTCATTCCTCATTCTCTATGAGATCGGAAGTCTCTGGAACCCTCTCCCCCAGCCCCTGTGAGGACTCGGCCTACCCATGCTGGTCTGATTGCTGCTCTCTGACTCTTCTCTTCTGCCATGTTCCTCCTTGAGGTGCTCTTACGGCAGTCCATTCTGTCTATGTACGCTTCCCTCTAGTCTCGAGTTAATGGTAACCACCTCCTCCCACTCACGCCATGTCAAAACTGTGGGGTCCCTTTGTGAATTCTCTACCTCCTTTATTTATACTCAGCCCATCACCACATCCTACTAGAATCACCACCAACCAGCTTCTCTAGGACGAATTTGCCCAAATCCTCCTGCCTGGTCCTTCTTTTCTATTTAAACCACAATTGTTTTTGCTCAGAACTGCAAAGAGGTCATCTGGATTCCTCAACAGACTCTTACTCATGCCTTACACAGCACAGCTGGAATCACATCTGAAAGTCTTCGGAGGCTCTTTTTCTGTAGTATGTCAAATCTTACCACCTCTACTGCCTCTGACCCCAAAATAAAAAACAAAACATTGCCATGAAGTGGATTCCAACTTACAGCGGACCCATAGGTATAAGACAGATTGGAACTGCCCCCATTGGGTTTCCAAAGCTGTCATCTGTAAAGAAGGAGACCTCGCGGCACAAGGGGGCAAGTTACTGTGTCCTAAATGGTCACTATGAGTCAAATTAGACTTTCACAGCACACAACAACCATCTTTGTAGGAACAGACACCACATCTTTCTCCCAAGGAGCAGCTGGTGAGTTCAAGTGTTAACCTTTCAGTTAGCAGCTAAACACTTTGGCCACTATGCCATGGGTTTTTCTTACAAAAAGAAAAACAACCCCAATAAACCCACTGCCATTAAGTAGATCCTACAGGACAGAACAGAAGTGTCCCAGAGGTTTTCCAAGACCTCCATCTTTGCAGAAGCAGATGGCCATAGCTTTTCTCCGTTGGTCAGCTGCGGTTGGGTTTTGAGCAGCCGACCTTTGGGATAACAGCCCAGTGCTCAACTACTGTGCCACCAGGACTCCTTGCTAGCTTTTTAGACCAGTAATAATCAGGTTCAATCTCAGGCTTCATCCTCGCTTTTACCTTCACTCCACCTCATGCTCCCCCAGAGCCTCTGTGAAGCAGCTCAGGCCTCCTCACTGAGCCTGTGAAGCAGTCACACACAGATTCTGGACTCTTCGCTTAGCTCAGGATTCCCACAGAGCCTTCAGTGCCCCTAGTTTCACTCTCAGCAGTTTGAGTCAACAGGCTTCCAGCCTCAGCTCACCTTTACCCTCGTCCCCTGAACCTTCCTCTGACCATTTCAGATCTGAACTAATCTCCGAAGACCGGTCATTCAAACTCCTGAGCACATTCTTCAGCACAGGAATGTATAATATCCTGCTTATCAGTTCTTCCTGTATTCCTCTCCTTACAACGTGGTGGAATTTTTTAGAACAAGGGCCCAATACATAGCATCATATTGAATGTTTTTATGCATTCATTCATTCAACAAACATCTTGTGTGAACCCCTTAAACGTGTCCTGAGGAACAAAAGTAAGCAAACTGTGTCCTGTTCTTTAAAAGCTCCTGGAGAAACAGGTTGATAGAAGGGGTTCACCTAACTCCTAGCCATGCTGAAGACTTCCTGGATGAGACAATTGTCAAAGCCAACATTTGTAAGGTGTATAAATGCTTTCCAGCAGAGTGAGGAAGGTTGGTGGGATGGGGTGTGCAGGTAAACGGAGTGCCCTTCACAGGGATTGGAGGAGTATGTTTGGGGCTACGTGTGACTCAGCAAGACCTCAGGTGAGGTGAGGGGCTGGCGAGAGATATGCTGAAGAGTGGTGTAGGGTCAGTTCACAAAAGTACTTGCAATGATTGACTAAGGAGGCTGGCCTACAATCTGATAACCTGGAGGGCCAATAAAGGCATTTGAACAATAGTCTAGCTAGTTCTTATTTAGAAAGGTCCTGATGGCATAAAGGAAGAGGAAATAAGAGTGCAGCACTGAAGATGGGAACCTAGTGAAGACGCCCTACGGGTCCAGATAAGCAATACTAAAGACCAGAACTGGTCTGTTTCTGGAACTGACACTGCTGTTTCTTTCCCCAGTGACCTGGTGTTGCTGACTGTCAGTAATTTCCCCTGAAGACAGGGTTCCTCTTCAAAGGCACATTCATCCTATCTTCCAAACTGCAACTTTCTTCCAGTAAATGAGAAATGGAGTTCAAGCAGGGCCAGGTCCCACTGGGCTTCTCACCTGAATAATTGGCGTGTATGGAGGAGTGGGACGGGGCTTCAGGTAGGCTCTAAAGAATGGGAAGTAGCCATACTGACTCATCAGCAGTCGCAGTGTTCTGTTAAATTCGAAGGAAGTAGAGTTCCCAGAGATCTGCCAGCCTCCAAGCTAGGAAGAGAAAGGCACGAGGGTCTCGGAGACCTGTTTCCATGGATGGTCACTACTCCTGACTTCTGATGAGTTGACTCTTCCAGTCTTATTTCTCTCTTGCCACCCAAGGTCTTGACCCACTGATGGTATTCTATCTCCACCTCCCTCCTAGGACTTGGGGAGTCCTAGGAAAGGGACCTACTCTCAAGAGAAAAGTGGAATTCCCAGAGATCTGCCTAGTAGTCCTAGGTTGTGCAGCTAATCTCCAGGTCTTACCTCCTCAATAACTTCCCTGAGGGGACCAGCTCCTGCAGCCTCTATGGCATCCACATCCATGCAGGAGTTGTAGAACTGGAAGGCTTTCTCCATCCCAGAGCCTGGGGGCCAGGGGTCTGGGGTCTCTAGAAAGCAAGTGAGGGGGATTGAGAGCAGACAGGGAGGGTTAAAGAGCAGGGTCTTGAGGTGGGGGGGAGAGAAGACCCCTGAGAAAATGGAAAGAAGGAATAAAATAGAAACTGAGAGGAACTGAGAAGATGAGATGACCGTCCATGTGGAATGGTGAAAGCAGGACAAAGGAATGTGGCGAAGACGACGGTACAGGAAGAAAAGTAAGATGATGGAGAAAGAAGGGATGACTGGGATATGGAGAAATGGTAAAAATGGAAAACAGGAGGGAGATGAATGAAAAAATCAGGGAAGCAAAGAACTTTAAGAGACTGAAGAGAGGAAACTCATACAGAAAGGTTTTTCAAAGAGAAGAAACTGGGCAATAATCTCCTAGCTCAGATTCTCCTGACCAACAATCCCAGGAATAAAACACACACATCACAGCAACTCACACCCATATCCTTTAGTACCGTCTTCAGCCTAATATCCACCATTCCTCTCCATCCCCCGACATGTCTTCCTTCTGCTCTGGGCAATGGTATGTCTCTTGCACTAAGTATGTCGCTTTTATCTCTTTGCCTTAACTGGAAACATGACTATCCACTCTTTATAGTCAAAGGGAGGAGGACAAAGGGATGTGTTTATTTCTCTCAATTTAAAATGACACTCCCAACCCTTTCTCTAGATCTCCTTACACAGGAAATGCATATCTAACTTATATTTCCTTATTCCCAAATCCTCACCACCCCCACCAACTTCCTGGGGCTCACTCCCAATCTTCTAGATGATCATGTATCTTTTCTCTCATTCCTGTCTCTGACCGTTATCCTGCATTGTCCAACTTCCATGTGGATTGTCCACTTGTCACATCCTTCTGACATGCCCTCATCCTCAATTTCATTACTTCCTCTCCTTCCCTTCCCTCCTCTCTGCTCAGCTCTCCTCTCCTCTCGAGCTGCCACCTACAAGAATCTACTTAATGTCCCAGGTCTGTAACTTGGTTCACCTCTTCTTCCAGCATATTCTTTGCCCCTATATTTTCCCCATTACTCATCAGCACTTCCAACCACACAACCTTTAGCACTTCTCACCCTGCCATTTTAAATCTTATTAGCATCCCCACTCACACATTCCATCAACCATTTCTCCCAGGTCAGCTAACAATGCCTCTTGGTTCAAGAGAGGCAGGAGGTGGTTACAAAAGTAGAGAGCTGTGAGGTGGTGGGAGGAAGAAGATGAGGTTGACAAGGGAGTCTAAGAAGTCAGAGAGGCTTTGAAAGCTAAAAAAGTGAGACTGAAGGATAAATGAGAAATGCAAAGATGTTGAGTACGTTCTGATCAAGGAAGACATCAGGCGTAGTGTGGCAGTTGCAAGCTTGGGGGAGATAACAGAAAAGATGGTCTCAAGTGGCCAGAGGGAGCCCTTGGGGAGCATGGATGAGGAAAGAGAATGGGATTTGGTAATGGACAGGAGAAGAAGGAAGAGATGCCTGAGAGGAGGTACCTGTGATCAAAGGAACAAAGCAAACCAGACAGGTGTTTCCTGAGGAGAACCAAGGGGTGGGGATGGGCCTACCCACACTGCACACATTGGGTCAGTTCTGACAGTTCAAGACTCTCCTCACCCAGAATTCTCTGGAGTCGGCCCTTGTTTTCCTCCTCAAGAGTCTGAAAAGAATTATTGGTCCCGCAGACAAAGGTAAAGAAGTCGGAGCAAGGGGCCACACTGCTGTTTCCTGAGGTTACGTACTGAGCCACGAGGTCCAGACACTCGGGGGTGGCACAGGGGCCTGTGGGGAGCAAGTGTGCAGATGGGGCAGAAGACAGAAAATGGTGTGGGTTCCCCCAAGGGCCAGATAAGGGAATGAGGGTGGAGCATTGAGGAGGAGCCATGGGAGGAGATCAGGGACGGTGGCCCCTTGGGCAGGTGGGATTCAGCGAGGGTCTTTGAAGAACAAGGAGTCAGGGCGGTGGCGGGGGGCAGTCCATGACTGATGGAGGGAACAGGCAGGGTCACCAGGACCTTACTTACGGGGGCCACAGCTTCCAAAGATGTAGACACAAAGCACAGAAGAGCCAAGCAGGAAGACCAACAGCAGGAGCATTGTCAACAGCCATTCAGCCAGGGCCCGTGGACAGGTTACTGCAGTGGGCAGTTCCTCTGCAACAGGCGCCTACAGGCACAGGGAGGAGAGAGCATGCATGAGGGAGCTGTCTCTCCTCCCTCTGAGTCCACCCTCTGGACCCCTGGGGACAAGAAGGGGGAGGGGTTGGGTTTGGAGGAAGACAGCACATCAGGTGGGGTGTAACAACATGGCTCTACCCGGAGCCCTAACTCTTGTGCGTGTGCAGAAGGTCACTTACCTCCTGAAGTGATCCCATCCCAAGGCCAGGCTCAGCCCTTTGGGTGAGTTGGAGAAGGGGGACAAAAGCTGGCTTATTAAAAGTGTTGAGTCAGCCCATTTGACACCTCCCCCTGCCCCCGTCCTGCATGCATCTTCACTTCACAATGAACCCCTCCCTCACCCCAAACTCATGGTCCTCAGTTCCAGGGGGCCTCTTCCCACAGCACTCTCCCCAACATCACCCACAGCCCCCACACTAACATCAGACACTGTCCCACCACCCCCAAACCACCAACAACCCCACCCCTATCCTACCGATGGCCTCAGCCCTAATCTTCACCCCAACCCTAGGTACCTGACCCCAAAGGGAATGGTTCTCTGCAGGGGCCTCCAGGTTCTCCTCCAGGAAGTGGTCTCCCTCCTGCCCCAGCTGCCCTGCCGTCCTGAAGAAGGAAGGGGTGTTTTCTGCCGACAGTGTCCTCGGGGTGACATCGTTATCACAGGCCCCACACAGCCCCTCCTGCTTTATCTAGGTTGTCAGAGGCAAGGAGACTCTGCTGCTGAAACTCTGCTTCCGGGAGCCTCTCCGCTCCCTCCCTCCCTCCTTCTGGGGCACATCTGTTAGCCCTATCTGACCTGGGCTAAGACCTCTCACCCAGGGGCCCCAGCACCCTGTGCCAGGAGACCCTAGTCTGTTGATGTTCCCTGTACAGGCAGGAGAATGGGCTCTGTTTTGGGAAATGGAGCAGAACCTATCCCCATCCATCTCAGGGGGTCTCACCCTCCACAGAGAGACGGGACTGTGGGCTCTGCCTTCAGCTCTGAGCCTAGTGCACTGGGGTGGTAGGAGCATGGGGCATGTGTGTGCTCAGCGGGACTGTTGTATATCACACAGCCCCTGTGTTCTCATCAATGGGGTCTCAGCAAGGAGGCAGGTGTCTCCCCTGTACCTGTTCCCCATCCCAGACTGAGGGATGGTCCAGCAGAATCCTGCCCACATGAGCACTTCTGGGTCATGATGCAGCTGCCAGGCCTGGCAGCCCTTAGGGTGGGCAAGGGTGTAGACTGAGATCACAGGATGGGCTATCATGGAGGTTGTGAAGAGAAACCAGGACTCCTGGCATGGTGATGCCTCAGGAAGGCTGGCTAGTGCTATGGGACAGATGGACAAGTGAGGGCCAGCCCAGGGCAGGGACAGAGGGAAGGCAAATACATGGAAAGAAACATTTTCTGGGAGCAACTGAAGTCATGACAGTTGAATAGTGAGTACATCCGAGTTGTTGCTGAGCTCCAGGCATTGGGTCTAGGCAGACTTCATAGGAAAGCTGTTGTTTGGGCTGTAAGGGTGGCATCAAAATGATGATTCAGAGTCTTAGAGATTCCAGATCTGTTGAGGGCATATGGACTGTTCCCCTGTCTGACTTTCTCCATCAAAACCCTGCCAACACCCCACCTTCTCAAATGCCTCTTACCACCTCTCTTCCACCATCCCACTCCCTTGGCTGATGTATAGAAAAACAATGGGTACCATTCAGTCAGAGAAGAAGGAGATGAGGCAGCACATCCTATGACCTTCTCCTTCTGAACACACACCACAGCCCAGACTGTGTCCTTGTTCCTGGTGCTGACCAAATGCAGAGCGATGGCAGTGAGCCCCCTTTTCCACTGCTCCCCAAAACAGTCACCTCAGGACCCGAGCCCTCTGCTCTCTCAAGCCCCTCTATAAAGTGAGTCCTGTCATCAACTTCACCCCAGCCCAGCTATTGACCCACAGGCTCACCATTCAGACTCAGCTCTTAGTCTGTCCTCAGTCCAGGCTCTGTGATTTGCTGCCATAACATCAACAGGACAAGAATGATGCTAAGAGCTCTTTTTCACAGGCCACTTCCCTTACTCCAGGGACTATGACAAGTGCTTTACTTATTGATAGCTCCTTCCCTTTCATAACTGTTCTATGGACATGGGGAGCTCTCATATCCCCTATTGTACAGATGAGGAAAGTGAGATGCACGGAGGGAGGGTGAACTGAGGCAGTCAGTAAGGGTCGGGGCTGAGCTAAGAGCTTTAGCCAGGCAACCTCTCAACCATGAAAGAATAAACAATGAAAAAACCATGGTGTGGATTATGATTCGTCTCAACCCCACATGCTACACAGCCTTCCAGATCTCCAGGCCTTGGTTGTGGTCTGAAAAACCAACTTTTAGATTAATAGTTGTTGCTGTTAAGTGCTGTCAAGTCAGTTCTGACTCAGCAACCCTGTATAGGATTTCCAAGGAGCAACTGGAGTATTTGAAATGTTGACTGGTTCTAAATGCAGTGTTTGTTTTACAGTACTAAATCAGGAGGCCTTTAGGTTAATGCCATTGTTGTTAAGTGCTGTGGAGTTAGTTCCGACCCATAATGACCCTGTATAGGACTTCAACGATCAACTGATTGGTTTGAACAGCCAACCTTGTGGTTTTCAATCCAGTGTTTATTCTACAGTGCCACACCAGGAGTCCTTTAGGTTACTGTGGTTGTTCAGTGTTGTGGAGGTGATCCTAACTTGTAATGACCCTATATAGGGCTTCCAAGGAGCGACTGGTGGGTTTGAACCACCAACCTTGAGGTTAGCAGTCCACTGCTGATGCTGCAGCATCATGCCGGGACTCCTTTAGGTTGTTTTGTTGTTGCTGATAAGTGTCTTCAAGTCGGTTCTGACTCATGATGAAGCTGTCTAGGGTTTAGGCTAATTGTTGTGTTAAGTGTTGTTGAGTCAGTTCTGACTCATAGCAACCCAATATAGGGTTTCTGAAGAGCAGCTGGTGAGTTTGAAAAACCGAACCTGTGGTTCAAGCTGACCTTGAGGTCAAGTGCTTATCCTATGGCTCCAGTTGCGTACAGATCATTTGTATCACCCAGGAACCTTCTCCGCCATTGGAGAGTATGTGTTTGGAAGACTCTTTCTAAACAGATAGCCCTGGTAGTGCTTGGCTGCTAACTAAAAGCTCATCAGCTTAAAGGTCTGACCTCACTGAGCGACTCCACCTGGAGCTGCCATAAAGATTCCAGCCTGGAAAACCCTATGGGGCAATTCTACGGTGTCCTAGAGCATCACTATGACTCAGCACCTACTCACTGGGACACAGTAAACACCACAACTTCCTAGCCAAAGCCTTCTGTTGTCTCAAGTCAGCTTTAAAAACCAAAATGACTTCACTGTTGTGCTTGAGAACATACACAGCAAACCACACAGCAAATTCAACCGTTTCTACACGTACAATTCAGTGACAGTGATTACAGTCTTTGAGTTTGGCAACTAGTTCTGACCCACCTTTTTGGAGTTGTTCCTCCCCCATAACGTGAACTCACTGACCGCTAAGCTTCCTATGTAATCTGTTGGGCATCTCTTGTCATTTGGTCCCATTTAGATGGTTCATAAACAAGCGTGATGCTCAAGGAAGATGTTTCTTAAGAGTTAAGCTAGACTGTTGTTAGGTGTTAAGAAGACTTCAGGGAATATATTTGTTTTAAGCTTTAAAGATCGTCTCAGGGCAATAGTTTCAGGGGTCCATGCCTACTCCATGGCTCTAGAATGTCTGGAGTCCATGAGAATTTGAAATTCAGTTCTGCATTCCCCTTTTGATCAAGATTCATCTGTAAGATCTTTGATCAAATGATTGTAATGGGACTCCATTCGTCTCTTCCGGTCTCATGGCAAAGGAGGCAGTTACTCATAGAAGCAACTGGACACACATTCCGCATCCTCCTCCTATACCTTACTCTTCTTCTTCCTCTGTTGTTCCAGGCAAATATATACCAATTGCTGTGCCTTGGATAGTTGCTTGCAAGACTATAAGACCCCACACTCTACAGAACTAACTATGAGGGAGAATAGAAACACTCTACATATTAGGCCAATCAACCAGAAATTCCATGAAACCATGAACTGAAACCTCCAAACCAAGGACCCAAATCCCATGAGGTTGTTGACTGTACATAAACAACCTAAACACCCATCCACAGATGAATGTATAAAACAAAATATGAAGCAGGCATATAATAGAATTCTACTTGATCAGCAGGAGAAATGAAGTCTTGATACATGCTACTGTATGGCTGGGCTTTGATTATGCTGAGAGAAATAAGCCGATCACAAGTTCAAATATTATATGACCTCACTTACAAGAAAAGGCCAATGCATAGAGACCAATGTTTATTCCTGGTTACCAGGGTGGGAGGGTCTGATAGAAAAACTGCATTGATTAAGGACAGGGTTGCACAGCCAAATATTACAATTGCTGTCATCAATAAGTTGTATGCCTGTGTGATAGATGTAGTACAACGATTCAACTCATCTTTGTCATTGGTCTTCCTGTCTTTGGCTTTGTTATATAGCTTCTTGGAGCTGTTCACCCCCAAGCCCTCAGATGTCCACCTTCTCCATCTGAAGACGGTGGCCTTTGTTATGTGTCCATAGCCAGATGGCATCTGCAGAGATCACGGTAACAAATCGGGGACCTGCCACACCTGCTGGGTCTCCTTATGTGTGCAAATTGGTGGTAAGGCACTGCATGTGGTCACAGAGATAACAACTAAGAGGTTCCCCGCTGAGTAGCAATAGGCCCCTTTCTGGAAGAACTGAGAAAACTTTGGCAACACTGGGGACTTTGACTGGAAGATGCGGTAGAAACAGATCTTTAGGGGCAGCTCAGGATTCCTAATTGCTCTTTCAAAGTAGGTCATGTTTGGGACAAGGGGTTATGTTTGGGACAAGGGGTCACCTTTGGAAAAAAAGAAGATATAAGTTCAGAGTTCCATAAAGTGGTTTTTGAAACAATTTACGTGAAAAAAAGATGAACCTTTGAAAATGTTTAATTTTCATATGCATTTTAAAATAAATTTACAGACTTAAAATGTAATTTTAAGTTTAAGACTTAAAATGTAAAATAAATTTACATGTAGACCAGAATATATAACCCCTGTTTCAATAATCTAGTAAGTAAATTGAAATACATGCATTAGAAAGTAGTAGGGCTCTCATTTCCAGCATTCATCTGTCAGTTTGTCGTGTTGTGGTGACTTGCATGTTGCTGTGATTCTGGAAGCTATGTCACTGGTATTTAAGATACCAGCAGGCTCACCCATGGTGGACAGGTTTCAGTAGGGCTTCCAGATTAAGACAGACTAGGAAGGAGAGGCAGACCACTTCTGAACAGTTAGACACTGAATATGAAGAGCAATGGTACATTGTCAGCTACAGCACCTGAAGATGAGACCCTCAGCGTAGAAGGTTGGGGAAGAGCTGCCTTCTCAAAGGAGATCTGACCTTAATGGACAAAGCTTTCAGGGCCTTCATTTGATGGTGACTTGTTATTAAGTGCCTTTGAGTCAGTTCTGACTCGTAGAAACCCTGTGTAGGGTTTCCAAGGCTCAAGTGAGAAGAAACAGCTGCAAACAGCCATTAATAATTAGAACATATAATGTATGAAGTATGAATGTAGGAAAATTGGAAGTCCTCAAAAATGAAATTTAAAGGTCCATATCTTAGTCATTAGTGAGCTGAAATGAACAGGTATTGACCATTTTGAATCAGATAATCATATGGTTTATTAAAACAGGAACAACAAATTGAAGAGGAATGCATCACATTCAGTGTCAAAAAGAACATTTCAAGATCTATCTTGAAGTACAATTTGTCTGTGATAGGATAACATCAATGCAGTGTTGTTGCTGTTGTTAAGTGCTACTGAACCAGCTCCATTCATAGTGACCTTGGATAGGGTTTTCAAGAAGTGACTTGTGGGTTAGTGACGAAACTACCAGCCATTCCATGGGAGAAAGAGGAGGCTTTCTGCTCCCGTAAAGGTTTACAGCCTCAAGAACTCTGTACAGGGTCGCAATGAGTCAGAATGGACTCCACAGCACAGAACAACAACAACAACAACAACAAGAAAGACCAGGAGTCTTGGTGTGGTGCTGTAGGATAAGTCAAGGACTGCTAACTAACCCCCCAGTCACTTCTTGAAAACCCTATCCAGGGTCACTATGAGTTGGAGCTGACTCATCAGCACTTAACAACAGCAACAACACAAAGACCAGTCAATACAATTGTCATTCAAGTTTGCATACCAACCACTAAAGCCAGTGATGATCAAATTGAAGAATTCGACCTAAGCTTGCAAGACCAGAGATTTCTTCATTGCAAATTCCTTTTTAAAAAAATCTTCATGTGCCTTTATTGGAGCAAGATTCCTGGTCAGTACAGTGATGTATTAACTGACTCTAGAGACGTGTGCAAAGAAATGACATACTACCCATCTAAACCATTTTAGTGACACGTTGCCTCTTGATGGAATTGTTACACTTGTGACGTTTTATATGTCAAAAGCTTTGAAGTTGCCCAGGTTGGCCATTGATTCATCACTGAAAAAATTAAGTGACATTGATTTAGCTACTGCATTTTACAGCATTAAAAAAGATTATGCATTAGGTTAGATAGCTTCTCAAAATAACCTTCTATGCACAATGGCATTTAGCAGATTCCAGATTCACATGAGTCTCATCTGATAGCTTTATGCTAGTTGTGCCAGAGCCGGTACTTGAGACAAAGAAGTACTCCTGAGTTTCTCATCACCAACACAAACTTATGATGAGCTAGACACATTAAGCGCCAGTGAAGACATGCCAGCAACTGCCCTGCGCTGACTTGACATTAGAGCACCAGGTCTGATGGAGGTGGCAGGCACTGAAATCATGATTATATCCACATACATAAGGGCCCATATTTTAAATGCCAATTTGAAGTAAAAGGCAATGATACGCATATTAAGAACTGAGTTTTGCACAACCTAGTATTCCCCAATGTGAATTCTTTTTTTAAAAAATGGTAAATTGTACCCAATGTTTTCCAGCTGCAAAGTTTTAAATATTTGATTCAACTTCCTTTACTCAATCCACATAGTCCTGAGGTCATCCTGCAAAAGTGCATTATCAAACAATATGGAGTTATGCTGGTAAAGTTTGACAATGATACCTTATAAACAAGTCAAACTTGGGTATCTTTTAAGTCCATCTGTTCTGAGAGAAAAGCATCAAATCCTTTGTGTACACATTTAGTTTGATTGTAACAAAGCAACTTGTACACTTTTAACGTTTAAAACGGAGCATCATCTTTCCTTTCCAGTACAAACAAAAAGAATTTTTAAAAATAAACAGGAACAAGATTACAATAGAGAATGTCAATTCCAAATAAGATCCTACAGGTTCTGCTGATTCTCCCATCGAGTGACAGGGCTCAAGTCATCATTAGGAGAGAATTTTATTTCAAAAGTGTCATCTTAAACTGCAAGGATATCCGTTAAACATCACAATTAAACATGCCAAAGGAGAAGCCATGTTGTCAACATGCCCACTTAACCCACCCAAATATCTCAAATCCCCCATTTGCTGATCTTCTATAACCCCATTTTTTAAAAAAAAAAAGATTTATTTTTTTAAACAAGAGAAAGTACACAGATACATGTTGGTAAATGCTAACTGTCCATATTCACATAGAGACACAGTGTACCCTCTGAGGCCAATATACAGATAAAGGAGGAAGAAAGCTGGAATTCTATGCACCACTACACAGGGGCCTAGCACCCGCCAACTTCCAGCAGAGCGAAGGGAGCAAAAAGTTGTTGGTTTTTCCCCACAGAACACAGTGGTGTGTTGATTCCATAGTTTTTGTTGAGACAGGAAGGGATCAAAATTAATTTGAGAACAGAAAGGGGTAGAGATTCTTTTCCCCCTGTATCTGCTCAAGATAGTCCCTGCCCACCCTGCCACCCCCCACCCCCCACCCCCCCCAAATAAGTTGAGAACCATGGTGAAAAGGAGAGAAAAGAGACCTCAAGAACAGGGTGACTGAGCACAAGAGGGGGAAAAAAAGGAGGAAAAAAAAAAAATACTGCCACTTGCTCCCAGGGACTGAATAAAAATTTTAAAAAAGGTTGGAATCCATCAGTATTTTTATTAGTCATCTTCTCCTTCATCCTCCTCTCCTTCTTCTTCCTCATCATCATCTTCATCTTCTTCCCCTTCATCTTCTTCCCCTTCTTCGTCAATATTTTCCAAACCTTCTTCTTCTTCATCATCATTGTCATCTTCTTCTCTTTCCCCTTCTTCATCATCCATATCAGGAACCAAATAGTACTGTAACAGATTTGGCCAAATATCATCTTTGATAACCTCTCCTAACTCATCTGCACCTGCATCAGAATGATCAGTAAACCAAGTAAAAAAGCTCTCTGGTTCTTCATGCTGCCTCTTCCTGCTGGCTTTATTCTGTGTTTTACTCGAGCATTTCGTCAAATCCTTTCTAGATTTCCATTTCATTTCAGTTGATTTTGAGGATGGATCATCACTCTCATTCAGATGAAATTCTTTGGAGAGAACACTATTTTCGAAGCAAGGATTTTCATCAAAATAAAAATCTGTTCTATAACCTGATTTAGTATCTTCAAATTCTGTCACTTCAACTCTGGTCAAATAATGCAGTGCCGCTTCATCCTCCTCCCCAAGCAACACAGACACTTGTGGAAGGTTGACAAATGTTATTACTCTAAAGTTTAAAACTTTGGCGATCAATTCTGACCTCTTCTGAAAGAATGGTTGGCAGAGTTTCTACTTTAAAAATCTCCTCACTGGCTTGTTCCTTAAGTCTGTCTATTTCATTTTGTACTTCATCAATATGTTCAATTGCTTCCTGCTGCTGTTTTTCTCCTTTGGCAAGTTCAGAGAGACTGAAGTCTCCTGCAGCTTAGGTTTCTTCATTTGAGGCAGGAGCAAAGATGAGTGTTTGGGGGCCATGCTGCAAGCAGGGTCCAAGAAGAAGATGAAAGAGAAGTTGCTTGCCAGGAAAAAGCTTCCATTGCAAATACCTTTTAAAATAACATAAAAGATAACTATACACATGGACCTCACCAGATGGAATCAAATAGACTATATCTGTGGAAAGAGATGGTGGAAAAGTTCCATATCATCAGCCAAAACAAGGTTAGGGGCCAACTGTGGAACAGACCATCAACTGCTCATATGCAAGATCAGGATAAAGCTGAAGAAAATGAAAACAAGTTTACAAAAGTCAAAATATGACCTGAACATATCCCAACAGAATTTAGAGATCATCTCAAGAACAGATTTGATGAATTACACATTAATGCCTGAAAACCAGAAAAGCTGTGGCATGACATGAAGAACATTATACAGGAAGAAAGCAAAAGTCATTAAGAAGACAAGAAAGAAGAAAAAGACAAAAATGGATGTCAGAAGAGACTGGAAAACTTGCGCTCCAGTGTAGAGATGCTAAAGCAAATAGGAAAAAAAAGAACTGCATAGAAAGTTTCAAAGTTCAGCTCAAGAAGATAAAGTCAAATATTACAACAAAATGTGCAAAGACCTGGAGTTAGAAAACCAAAGGGAAGAGCACACTCAGCATTTCCCAAGCTGAAAAAATCCAAGCCTCAACTTGCAGTATTGAAGGATTCTATGGGCAAATGTAGTCCTGGTGTGGTACTATGGGATAAAGCACTGGACTGCAGGTTGGTTTGAACTGCAAGGTTGGTGGTTCAAATTCACCAGCTGCCCTCGGAAACCCTATACAGGGTTGCTATGTGTTTAAACCAACTAGCTGGCACTTAATAACAACAACATAGGCAAAATATTGAGTGATTGAGAAACCATAAAAAGAAAATGGAAGGAAT